GCCACAACTGTTTTCCACTGGCCCACACGACAGGAACAACTCCATCTGCCACTTCAGTCGGGACGGTGCTGCTGACAGGAGTTATTTCCTGCACAAGAAGAGCTGCTGCTCTCACACATTTAGTTTCAGGAATTACAATTTCAATCTCCCCATTTTCCAAGTTCATTTCTGCCTCAACTTCTCCAATCAATCTCTTCCTGGGTTTGGGTAATTTTGGCAAATAGACAAACTGAGGAATTACCCAAGGTTTTCGCACTTTAACCCCTGTCACAATCAATCACCTTCACAGTGCCATTCCTTAATTCTCCCTCTGTTGTGTTAAGGACTGAGGAAGCTGGACCTGTGTCTGACCAGGACACGTGCAAACCAAATGGTGGGGACTGGAACCCACACCTTGCACTCCTGCAGCTCTCACAATTCCTGTCAAAAGAAAACAGCCAATGGTACCATCACTGCTCATTCCTTAATCCCAATCCCACACTTCTTTTGCAGTTGGAGAACCACTTTTATACCCCAGTTACAGTCCATTCTAGAGCTCGATGGCCTGGATGGACTGTTACAATTCTGATACTTTCAGGAATGCCTGAATCCATTCCAGGGACCTTGCTTTGAGCTCCCCAGCTTGGGGTACCCAGAGGAGCTCCCCAAAGAATCCTTTTGGTGTGTGCTCAAGTCCTCAGGGTCCCCGAGCCCGGGGGGCACCAACAGCACTGTCCCTCCAGGGGGCCCAATCTGCTCCCAAAATGCAGGGGGATCATGCCTGTGTCCCAGACTGCTCTGGGGATCTGAGAGCCTTCCCGAGAACATCTCGGTGCTGGCATGAAGGCCCAGAGATCCCTCGGAACCACGGGAGAGCAGGCACAGAGTCCCTGCTGGGGGCCCATTTGGCTGCCTGAAAACAGCTCAGCAAAGAAGCCTCTAAGACTCAGCTGGTGAGTTTTAGAAGCCAGGTATTCCTACACACTAAGATATTTCAAGACCTTATTGACTGAAAAAGCATAAAGTTTTTATCATGGCCACAAGACCTCTCACAGACAACTCCTTTCCCCTTTCAGCACAAAAGTAGTTTATGGTATCATTTAATAGAAAGTACCCAGGAACCCCAGACTCTGCTTTCCAGAACAGAAAATAAACAGGGGGAAGGAGCTTTGCACAAGTGTAACACACTCCAGAACAGACCTGACTTCAGCTTTACTCCTTCTGTTCAAATACTCCATAGAACAGCTCCAGCAGGAGAGCTGGCACATTACCCAGGGTACCCTGAAAAGCTCATCTTATGAGGGCTGTAGGAAAATCGCAGTGGGACGAGCTCCTTGTGCCTGCACATGCCTGGGGATCCTTTCCATCCACCCCGTGCTCTCCCAGTAGGAGAAACGGTGACCTCGGGGACACAGTGGCACTCGACATCCTGCTGAGAGAGGAGAAAGGAAACCTTTAGCATAAAGCTGAGTTGGAATCTTGAGCTTCCTTTCCCAGGAGCTTTGGACAGTCTGCAAACGAGAAGGAGAAATTTTCATTTCCTTTGGTGCAGGTGTCAACAGAGACTGAGAGCTTTTGCCTTTTTCAGACAACTGTGCCCTTCTGGACTCCCTCTAAGTTCAAGTGGTAGCAGAACCCCCTATCTGCATACACACGGGTGTCACACACAGGCACCCACACACCTTTTCTCCAGCCCACACATGGCCAGGATTTCCTCACCCTGGGTACATCCCACGCTGCGTATTTTTGCCAGAGAGCACGGCAACCTCCCTGTCCTTGCAAACTGCCTCCCTGCAAAAAAGGAGTAATGTTTCCTGGACTTCTCCCACAGTCAAGGTCTTTTGAAGCTGCTGGCATGCCACCAAACCTGCTCAGGGTCCCTCCCAGCTTCTGCCTCGCCTTGGATTTAAAAGGCACATGCATATTCCAACTTCTAACAGCAAAACCCAGTTCCTCACTGGGAGTATAAGCCCTGCTCTTGCCGGCACAAAATCCCAGGCTCGGCATAGCTGTGGTCGCAGAGCAGCTTTCCAAGGTCCTTCTCTCCTAGCAGGAAGCACAACTTGCCACACTCCGCCAGCACCAGGGGAAACCATGAGGGAGGCTGGAAATTGACACAGAACGAGGAAAGAGCATTAAGTTGGCACTAAAAAAACAAGTTAGAGCAGCCTTTGCCTCAAAGCCCTGCACGGGGAGAGGCTTTGGGATTCTGAGGCAAACCCTGATACATCCAGAGAGCAACAACCCCTCAGCCCCGCCATGGCTCCCCGGCAGGGAACAGGCTTACCCAGCCCTCGCAGCCCAAACACCGCCCAGCTCCCCCGTTCCACGGGCACAGAGCACACCGCGCTCTGCCCCCAGCCCAGCCCAGCCCAGCCCAGCGGCCCCACCCTCAGCCCTCACGCACAAACAGCCGCAGCCGCGCAGGCCCCGCCCGCCCTTCTCTAGCGCGGGCCCGGCAGCCGCTGCCCAATCAGCACTCGAGCGCCCCCGTCCAATCGCAGCCCGCGCTGTTCCTGCGGCCCCGCCCCGCCCGCTCTGCCCGCCCGGTCCGGCCCGGCCCCTCCGCGCGCCTCCCGCCGCCGCCGCCGCCCCGGCGGGCCCTGCTGGGGCCGGGGAAAGGCGGTGGGAGCTCCACGGTCACGTCCCGTCCGGGAGCTCTCGCGGGACAAGGGGAAGGGGGAGCCACGGCGGAGCCTGCGGGGACAGCGGCGTTCTTGGGGCCGGGCAGGGCGGGGCCGGGAGGCCAGGGGGCGGGACCAGCGCGAGCCAGGGGGCGGGGGCAGCGCCGTCCCGCGGCGTTTGGCTCTGGGCTTTGAGGTTGTTTTGGGCTCGTTTTGGGTGCGGGTTTTGGGGGACTATGCACACCCCCCCGGGTCACAGCCCCGCCCCAGCTCGCTGCACCCTGCTGCGCTCCCCGCCCCCTTGCGCTGCTGCAGGGACATCCCCCGGCGGGCTGCAGGACAGGCTGCACCGGGATGGCCCCGCCCGCTCTGCCAGTCTAGCCCGTTCCGTCAGGGGCCGGTAGAACTGATGTCCGTTCCCAGCGGGTAGACCCGGTATCTCTTTGCATAGGGAAGACCTGTTGTCCGTGCCTTGCGGGAAGACCCGGTGACCGAATCAGGCGGGTAGAGCTGGTCTCTGTTTCCAGAGGGAAGACCTGGCAGGGAACAGTAATTTCATAAACTGCATAAATGCTTAAAAAAAAAAAAAAAACCGCAAAGACCTCTGCTTCTTTAGGCATCTCCACCTGGGAGATAAAATAGACGTGGAAAAAGTTTGCAATGCTGCTTCCAAGTCAACATCCCTGCTAAGAAATTACTCCAGCTCTCTTGCACCTCAGCGTGTTTTAAACACAGCGTGGCCTTTCCTGATTGCAGACTCCGAGCTGCACGGTTTGGGAGCTGGGGAGTAAAATCAGCTGTGCTCTAATCCCAACGGCACACAGAAACATGGATTTGGGGGCTGGACTGGGAGACACGCACGCAGAAGGTCTGTGCCACTTCAGAGAGCTGTTTTTCAGTGATTCACTCAGGCGTTTTCCGATGATTGCTGCTCGAGATCCCCCTGCCCAGAGCCAGATCCCTCCAGCTGGGAGGCAAATGGATTTCTCAGGAGTTCTCATTATCTTCCATTTATTGGGACATAAGAGAAAAAAAAAACAACCATAGATTGCTGACTTGGATACAACCACTCCAGATATTCCACGAGGAGAACATTCCTTCACTTTCTTTGTGAATCTCTCTAAGCAGGGTGGCTTGAACAATATTTCAATTCTCCGTGCCCAGGCAGCCCCTCTGGGTTCATCCCCTCTCGGTTCATCCCCGGGCGGTGCCGGCGCCGCTCCTGCCGAGCTGCAGTGCCGGGGGCTCCCAGCAGATGGCAGCACTGAGCGCAAATAGCCACCGCGACCGCGCGGCTTCGGGGGCAGCGCGGGCTGATTAACGAGCCCCCACTGAAATCCCGGCCCAGGTCCCAGATCCCACATCTGGGGAGTTACAGCCAGGGGAGAGAGCAAAAACATCGCAATACACAGAGCTGCTTCTTGTTCTTCCATACAGGTCACCTTGTACATTTCCAAGTCCTTTTTTATTTTATTTACATACACAAATGTTAGATTTGTATTTCCAAACCCTACAGATCCACGTTCAGACTTTCCTATAGAATAAAATCCTGTGTGTAACACACCAGACACGGGAGTTTATTCTGAAATCGATTTTGAAGTAAAATAATATTATTTCCCAATATATATAAAAATTAGGAACTCTGCAGTGTTTTACACACACACACACACACACACACCCCTTGTGAATTTTCAGGCATATTGAGTCTCTCACCTCCCTCTTTTAGGGGAATCTGCCTGCATCGTACCAGGAGCCAGGTAGCACATGCGGTGTCACGGCCCTGTAGGTGAGGACTCCTGTGTGCACCTTCTCCAGGATTCTGTGATGGGCTGTAGCAGAATTCCTACTAAAATCCCAGAAATTACATGCAGTCTCTTCCGATCACCTGGATGACCTTATGGTAGCAGGATAAGAAACCGGTTAGACAGGAATTTCCCTGTGTTATCCCGCACCTGACGCTGGAATTATCCTTGGATTGCTTCCCAGTAGTGCCCAGTATGTCCTTTCCCACCAATTTTTCCTGGTACCAAGGTTAGATCAACAAGGCTGAAGTTTCCTGGAAAGTGGGATACAGCTGGAGAGAGTCCAGCCAGCATGGATCTCCTTGGGCTTCCAGGACCTTGGGTAGATGATTGAAGGAGGTTCCTGTTGGGAACCCCATTCACCCTCATAGCCTCATGGATATCAAACTGGCCCAAGCGGAGCCCAGTGATCCCAAATGGAAAATCCCTGTCCCTCCCCAGCCAGACACAGTTGGACACACAGATAAGCCTGTGGCGCTGTGGGAGGACAGGTAGCTGGAGGTCACTGGGAACACTTAAAAGCAGCGAGGACGCCTGGACAGACCAATTCCCACAGGATTCTGCCACCCTGAGCAGATCAGTGTGCTCCGAGAGGATGCTGGGCCTGCCTTTGGCCATGGGGGTCCTGCTGGCCCTGTTGGGCTGCACGGCCAAGGAGCACTGTGGTGAGTGGGAGAGGGTGGAGACTGCAGAGAGCCCATGGATGGGACACAAGATCCCAGTGACCCTCCCTCTCCTTCCAGCGGCCCCACAGGACCTGGTGTGCCAGTTGCTCCAGCACATGGAGGGCTCCATCAAGCCCGGAGAGGTGCCGAACCCCAGTATCCTGCTGGCCATGAACCTGGCTGGCGCTGACACCAAGAATCCCAACTACAAGTTGCTGCTCCAGGAGATCAAGGAGGAGGCAGTGAGGAGAGCCCAGAAAGGTAGGGAACAGAAGGAAATGAGGGGGGGTCCTGGGGCATCAGATTCCACAGGGCACTGCCAGCTCCCAGGGGAACAGGACCCATCCTGCCACGTTCCCGGTGTCCTCTTGTCCCCACAGCCATGACCTCAGGACAGGTGGCTCTGTACGTCCTCGCCCTCCTCTCGTCCTGCCAGGACCCCCGGCAGGTCCATGCCCTGGGACAGACCATCAACATGATCTCCATTCTGCAGCAGAAAACGGACGAGGAGATGGCTGAACTGGGTACGCTGGGATCTGCGGGGTGTCCGCCTCTCTGCATCCCATCATCTCACTGCTGTTTTCCAGAGGACAAGGGCCATTCCAAAACTACCCTGTTCAGCGTGAGCCTGGATGCCACAGCCCTGTGCCTGGCCAGAGCGGACGGATACCAGGGGCCAGCAGTGGCCCTGGCCAAGGAGATGCTGAGCCCCAACAGCCACATCACTGTGGGTAAGAGATCCCTCTGCTCTCACACTGCCACTCCGAGGGGCTCTCCAGGGCTTGGCAGTGACCCCAGGATCCACAGACACCCGTGCTGTGGCAACGCTGGCCCTGGTGTGTGCCCATGACAGTGTGGAGGACCCAGAGGTGCGGGATCTGCTCCGGGAGGCAGTTTGGACAGTGACCAATGACTTCCTGGACGAGCAAGAGGAGAGGAAAGGCATGATCGGGAACATCTACAGCATGGGGCTGGCCCTACAGGTATGGGGGGTGGGGAATGTGGTGTCACAGCCACCCACTTCCGTTCCCAGATTTGTCACACCACCTCGCACCTCTCCCACAGGCGCTGGAGGCCTCAAGGGACTTTTACGCCCCTCGGGACTGGGATTGTGCCCAGGCCTTTGCTGTGGTGACCAACCACACCTTCGAGCTGCCCATGGCTATCGCCCAGGTGCTCCCGGCCCTCGTGGGCACATCCTACCTGGATGCGGCCATGCTGAGCTGCAATGCCCCCACGGATCTGTGCCCAAGCCTGGGGACACACAGGGTTCCCAGAGGTATGATGATCCCACCTGGAGCCTCCCAGATCCCACAGTCATCCCAGGATATCACAGTGCACTACTCCATCATCAACAAACTCCAGGGAACCCCCTTCCACTACAACATCTCGGTGAGGGTCGCAGGTGACTCCACACTGCTTGAGGTGCTGGAGAGGGCAGAGAAGAAGGATCCCAAAAACTTTAGGTGAGAGCCAGAGGAGCCAGAGAGGTGGGATTTGGTATCTCCTCACCCAGCCCTGAGCCCACTCACCTCCCTGGCAGCTTCAAGATGGAGCAGACATTCTGGGGTCCCATGGTGGTCTCCATCCACGGGCTGGCTGCCAGTGACAATGACAGGACCTACTGGCAGTTCCTCAGCTCTGGGAAACCTTTGGATCAAGGTGGGCAGTCAGGGAAGGTGGGGGATCGCATGGGGGTCTCCATGTCCTGGCCTCACATGTCCCTCTGCCACAGGGGTCGGAACCTACAAACCACACTCTGGGGAGCACATCCAGGCCATCTTCAGCACCTATTGAAGCCACCAAGAGACCCTGGATCCCACCATGGAGCAATAAAGTGCCATTCCAGTGTGTCCCTCTGTGTGTGTGTGTGTGCGCGCGCATGCACAACTGGAAGAAAAAAGGGCTCAGATCCCTTTTGTCTTCCTCCTTCTCTTTCCCACCATCCCACACAAATCCAGCCTCACTCAAACACTGGAGTGTCATTCCCACCCTGTGTGTCAGCAAAGCCTTTCCCGGTCTTGCCCTGTACCCATTGGTTTGTTCCTCTGGCCACATTCGTGCGCTTCAGTTCAATTAAATCTGATCTCCACACAAGCTCTAAGTGCATTCATCAGGTGCAATTCATGTGGTTTGATTATTACAATCCCGATCAGGATCAGCCTGAGGCCACCAGTTAGATTTCCTTCCCCCTGGAAATCTGGAGGTGGGGGTCTGAGATCCCAAAGATTGCAGCTGGGGGTGGAGAGAACCATTCCAAACCTGATTCTGGGACTCTGATCCCTGGCCGTGAGTCACTAGCACCTCCCATTTTGGTCCCAACTGCTCTCCAGGCACATGGAGCCCCATTCCATACTCCTACTGAGCCCTGCTCAGACACTCCTTCAGCCCGGACCTGCTCATCTCCCACATGGACCCTTCCAAGGTGCCTTCCAGCCCCAACCATTCTAGGATTCCATGGACACCATCTCCAGAAGGAGCCGGGAGGGACAGAATCCGGACTCTTCCTGACACCCCGAAAAACAACATCCACCACCTTCCATCATCTCTGGGATGGGGGATCTTACCCAGGACATCAAACCAGTTAGACAGGACTCTCCCTTCCTCAACCCATGGTGACAGTGACACCCTCCAGCTGCTTCCATCACCTCACAGATCAGATGGCAGGCACCGTGCAGCAGCATCGGCACAGGTGTGGCAGGGCAGGTGTTCCCACGGAGACAACATTCCAAGCTGTGCCCCATAAGGTGTCCCTTTTCCCCTCACACACCCCATCCCAGTGTAGGTCTCCATCACCAACACTCTCCAGAGAAAACACTTTCACTATCCCCCCTTGGTGGTTTGGTTGTTTGCTTTGAGTAGGACTAAGGGGGTTCCTTTTCTTACGAGGAGCTGGCCCAGCGCTGGGTTTGGACCCAGGATGGGAATGCTGTGGATCACACACGGTCGGTTTGGTTGTTGCTCCTTCCTTAAGTGTATCATGCAGTGTTCCATGGGACAATCCATGCCCATGCTCTGCCAGCCAGGAGGTGACACTGCCCTCCTCCTCTGCACTGGGTCATATCCGGCTGAGAATCTTACATCCGCTCTGCTCCAGAGGAGCCTCCAGTGCCTGCTGGGAGCCCCTTTCTCAGGGATGCCCTGGGGCTGTGACATCACCAACAGGGCTGTGACACCACAGAGGTGTTCCCACCCACAGGGCTGTGACATGACCATGCTGACACCAGGTAACCCCGGGAGTCATCCCCCCTGCCTCCCAGGGTGGTCCCAATGGGATGTGGGGAGCCATGAGTGATGGCAATGTCCTGCTCTCCGTGCTGCTCCTCCTGGTGGCCACTGTGGCCGTGCCCCTGGCCACCCACCTTTGGCAACAGCCACTGGCGACACTTGAGACATGGAAGCGCCCCGGGAGCCGGGCCAGGGACTCCCGGAGCAGCCAAGTGCATCCCAGATCCCCCCCAGCTCAGGTGACCCCTGTCCAGTGCCCAGAAGCTCCTGGGAGCTCCCTGTACATCCCATGTGGATGCGGCCCCACCTGCTCCCCCTGTGCCACAGCATCCCAGGAGTTGCAGGATGTGGTGACACCCGAGTGGACCAGGGAGCCCTTCCTGCTGGATTCCAGGGCATGCCAGGCATTGTGGGAGGATCTGGAGAAGCTGGTGGAGCAAGGCCACCTGTCCTGCTGCGGCTCGTCCAGCTCCTCTGGGAGCCCTCCTCACTCCGGCAGCCCCCCTCCTGCCAGGAGAGCCTCCATCCGTCGGAAAGCATCCGCAAGAGCCTCAGCCCATCCCAGAACCCAGCGCCGCTGGAGATCCTCTGTCGTTCCGAGAACCTCGGCTCCAAGAGGCTCCATTCCCTCCCAGAGCCTTGGTGATTCCTGCCAGACTCCAGGTGGAGGAGCCAACACAGACAGCCCACAGTGCCCCAGAGCTGCAAGAATCGGCAGAACCTGCCCAGGCTTGACGATGCACATGGCCAGAAAAAACCTGGAATTAAAACTGGGAGCCCAGCCCATTCCAGTGAGGCGCTCCCAGCAGCAGGTGGCACAGCAGGAGGTGTCCTCAAGACACCGGTGCCCAGCCCACGGCTCCCTGGCAGCTGTGGTGGTGCCGTATGAGAAGACCATCCATGCGGTGCTGGATAAAATCCTCCAACGGGAAAGGAACATGTTCCCATCTCCAGAGCACTCTCTGGAGCTGGCTGTGAAGAAGCAGGATAAGGAATATCCCTGCATGTCCAACACTCCTGGCAGGAGCCTCCATCCCTTCCAGAGCCCCTGTGTGACTCCGTATGGAGGAGACCCTGTGGGCAGGTCTCCCTGCTCCTTCAAAGCCATGGGAATCAACAGAACCCACCCAGCCTGGAAAAGCCTGGGAACAGAACTGGGAGCCAGGGCCACTCCAGCAAAGCCTTCCCAGCAGCAGGTGGCCCAGTGGGAAGTGTCCCAGGGCCGGCAGTGCCCAATCCATGGCTCCTGGGGCACCGCGGAGGTGCTGTACGAGAAAACCCTCCGCGCAGTGCTGGACAAGATCCTCCAGCGGGAAAGGAAGCTGGAGCATCCCTATCTCCAGGGAGCTCTCTGGAGATGTCTGTCGAGGATTGGGATGAAGTTCGTGGCAGCAGCTCAGGGACTTCGGAGGTTTCTCTGTGCTAAATAAATTGGGATCTTCCCCAGACGCTGAGCGCTCCCACTGGCCTGGTTTTACTGGGATAGGGTTCCTTTCTTCCCAGTAGCTGTGCCCTCTTGGACCCCTGGCTTCCCACACCGCTTGCTCCTGGTATAAACAGTGCTACGGGAATTAATTAATACTTCCCTAATAGTTAATAACACTGGTATTAATTAATATCAGTGTCAGAAACAGTGGAAATCTTTGTTTGGAATGGGAAATGGAGGAAAAAATGGAGTGAAATACCACGAAGCACAAGGTAGGGAGAGGGTGGTGGAAAAGCAGCTTTTAAGTTCTTCTCCAAGGTTTCATCCCAACAAGGTGCTGACAACTTGGAAAGCTGGAAGGTAATTCCTAGAAACTGTGATATACGGAAAACAAACAATTTAAGGATGCTATTTACAAATATTATTACTTTTAAATCATCTTTCATCCCCCCACCATAAAACCATTCCTGTACATACTCACCATGAAGATATTTGGAGATAAAAGAGGAATATTTAATTAAAAAATTCCTGTTAGGACCAACTGTGGATTGAATCATTCAAGAGAATCCACAGCAAGGAAACAAAATCCCAGTTTTAGCAGTTAATGGATAAGAAATACGGAATAAGTCTTAATTTCCCTGCAAAACAAGTGCAGCTTATTTTCCAAATTGGCAGAGAAAAAACCCATGGAATTTTGATGTCTGCAAAATATCTAAAAAGCTTATAACTGGAACTTTCTGTGTTCCTACCTGTGCTTCATTTCTTGCTGTTTTGGAATTCCATGTAAAACTGGGATTTTTTCATTTAAAACCATAGTTTAAGCCATCCGTCTGGAAAAAGAGAAATAGCGTCTTTGCTCTTGCATTTTATTCCAGAAACAAAACACTGCACGTGGCTCCAACAAGTAACAAAACTACAGAAAATACAGAATTAAATAAGAAATAAAAAAGGTTGTAGCTTTTAATTTCCAGCCCTGGAAATTTTTCTGTCAGTGTGCACAACCAGAATGACGCCTCTGGAATTCAGGGAGTGAAGAGGCTGCTTTTCTAGGCTCTTGGATAATTTTATTTTTAAACATTTTTAAGCAAGATTCAGGCTGGGAGAGCTGCAGCCTAGGCCCAGCTTTCCTCGGATTGTGTACTAAGAGCAGGCCAGGATTTGGCTGAAATTGGGATCACAACTAGATTTTAAATAAGGAAAGTGAATACGAGAAAGAAAAACCTAAATAAACTCCCATCAAAGAAAAAATTTTACCTCATTATTTGAAGCCTCCTTCCCAATTCCAGTTTGCCTTCCACTCCCATCGTACCTCTTTTGGGATGGCAGGGATTGGGCTAATCTGATTCGTCCCTGGTTTGCTCTGCAGCTGGAATTCTTAACTCTGGAAGTGTTTATGCCCAGAAGCTGCTCCAGCTCTCCCCTCTCCCAGCCTCCTCCATTCCTTTCTAGCACTAACTGCTTGTCGTTAGCCTAAAACTCTCAAAAAAAAAAAAAAAGCCCCTCAAAAACCCCCAATCCCAGCAGTTTGTGGGCACCCAACCCCATCATTTCTACTTTTTAGCCTTTGCAGCAGTGCTAGGCTTTGAGCTGGGCTTGGCTTTCTTCCTGGTTGATCCCTTGGGCTCGGGCTCCTTCCGCTTGGCTGAGCTGATGGAACCAGTGACCTTGAAGAAGTCATCCAGGCGGCCCTGGGTGCTGCCTTGGCGGCTCTTGCTCAGCCTCCTCACGCCATTGCGGATCCGCTCCTCGCTGAACTGCTTCTCCCCACACATGAACTGCACGAGCCGCTCCTCATCCGGCTCGCTCCACTTCAGCTCCACAGTGTCGGGATCCACCACCTCAGGCTCCAGAAAGAGCTTCTGGGCCTCCTTATGCGGCCAGTTCTCGGGTAGCGGGTACTTCTTGGTGTCAAGCTGCTGCACGATCTTCTCGATGGACTTGTGCTCCCGGATGAGCTCCACGGCGCGCTTGGGCCCGATGCCGCGGATGCTGGCGCAGTAGTCACAGCCCAGCAGGATGCACAGGTCCACAAACTGCTCCCAGGTGAGCTGCAGGTCCTGCAGGATCCGGTTCAGGTGAAATTCCTGGATGGGTAGCTTCTTGTTCTCGCTGGCCGTGAGGTGCCGCATGAGCACGGGGCTGCCGAAGGTCAGGCAGTCCATGTCCTCCGTGGCTGCCGCGTACACCTTCCCGGCTTTCACCAGCACGGCGCAGCTAGCTTCTGCCTCTCCGGGCGCCTCCACGTAGGGAATCCCCATCAGCTCCAGCAGCTTCTTGCACTCCTGGGTGTGCTGCGGAGTCACCTTGACCAGCCTCTTGCTGTACTTCTCCACATTCTCCTCCTCGCCGGCCTCCTGTGCTTCCTGCAGCTGCTTTTCCGCCTCGGCCCGGCGCTCCGTGCGCTTGGCCAACTCCCCCGATTTCAGCTGCGGGGGTTTCCCATCAAACACGTACACAGGCTTGATGCCATTCTCCACCATGCGGATGGTGCGGTAGAACATGCCCATGAGGTGGCTGGTGGTGTCGCCCTCATCGTTGTGGAGCGTGTCGGCGCCCTGGCGCACAGCAATCAGGAACTGGTAGATGCTCATGGAGGCGTCGATGGCCACCTTCCGCCCGAAGTACGACTTGATGTCGTTCTCCCGGATGGCCCCAGGGGCCACATCCGCAATGAGCTTGGCCAGGCCGTGGATTCCCATCCTGGGGAACAGGAAAGGGGATGCTGGGAGCGGGCTCTGCGTGAGGAATGTCGGGCCACCAAGGAAGGGGGGGCCAAGAGGGGAGGGCTGCTTCCCCTGCAAGCCATCACCCAGTGGTGCCATCACCCCAATTCCAGCCTCAGCCGTTAACCCAGTCCCGCCCTCAGCCCTCCCTCATCCCCCACACATCACCGTCAGCCCCCCATCTCAGCCCATCGTTACTCCCCTTCCTTCCGCAGCCTCTCCCAGCCCAATCCCGCTCCCTAAAATTTCTCTGTGCCCACCATTATAACCGCATCACCTCCCCATTCCCACCTCCCTACTTCCCGGCTCCCCAGGCCTCCTATTAACCCTCTTCCCTCCTCTCTTCCCCTCCCCCAAGCCTCCTTTACCCCCTCTCCCAGACCCTCCTCAGCCTCTCCAGCTGCCTCTATCCCCCCCTCAGCTTCCATTACCCCCTCAGAGCCCCCGGTAGCCCCCTACCCTGTTCCACCCCAGCAATTACCCCCACCTCAGCCTCCCCCGTCTTTCCGAGGCGCCATTACCCCTCTCTGCAGGCTGTCCTCATCGCCCCCGGCTGCCACTAACCCCTCGGAACCCCCCACATTCCCCGCACGACCCCCGTTACGGCCCCGCCGAGAGCCGCCATTACCCGCCCCCTTCGGCCGCCGCCGCTCCCGCGCTCGCGCCGCGACGCCCGCCGGGAGGCGCCGCCAGCCAATGGGGACGCAGCCGCCGCACTCGCCCCGCCCGCCCCCTCCGCCCCGCCCTCCGCCGGAAGGGGCCGACGTGGAAGCGGTGGGAACGCGGCGACATGGTGAGCGCGGGGGCGGGGGAACATGGTGAGCGGGAGGGGGACACGGCGACATGGTGAGCGCGGGGGCGAGGGAACATGGTGAGCGGGGGGGCAGAGGGGACATGGTGAGCGGGGGGGAACACGGCGACATGGTGAGCGGGGGGGACATGGTGAGCGGGGGGGGACATGGTGAGCGGGGAGGGGACACGGCAACATGGTGAGCGTGGAGGGGGGACACGGCGGGCGGGGGCAGGGCCTGATCCAGGCCCCGCCGAATCCCCCCCGTGTCCCCCGCAGGAGCTGGAGGCGATGAGCAGATACACCAGCCCGGTGAACCCGGCCGTGTTCCCGCACCTCACCGTGGTGCTGCTGGCCATCGGCATGTTCTTCACCGCCTGGTTCTTCGTGTATCCCCCCGCCGGGGCCAGGCGCGGGCGGGGCGTCCCCCTTAACCCTTCTCTGCCTCCTGATCCCGGGTTATCTCCCCCATCCCGGGCTCCCCTGCTCTTGCTTAAGATTATTACCTTAACCTCGGTCGTGCAGCTACGAGGTGACATCCACCAAGTATACGCGGGACATCTACAAGGAGCTGCTGATCTCGTTGGTGGCCTCGCTCTTCATGGGCTTCGGAGTCCTGTTCCTGCTGCTCTGGGTTGGGATCTATGTGTGAACCCTCCAGACGTGGGATCCTGGGAAGCTCTTTTTATATTTCTTTTGTATTTCACGAAAAAAAACCAAAAAAAACCCAAAACCAACAATCCCTCCTGTACCAGGTGTGGCGTGTGACACCTGAATAAAACTGGCTCTGTGACACACCTGCCTCAGGACTCCTGGTTTGTCTTTTAGGTTTCCGTTTACCTGGATTTTCCAAACCACTTGGAAGGAGTAATGGGATTGTTTTAGGAAAAGCCCTTTAGGATCATGGAGTCCAACCGTTCTCCCACCCCTGCCACCACTAGCCCCTGTCCCCAAGTGCCACATCCACAGGGATTTTAAATCCCTCCAGGGACAGTCACTCCACCCGTAGAGCTTGTTCCAATACTTGACAACCCCTTCTGTGTAGGAATTTCTCCCTCATATCCAACTTACAGCTCCCCTGGTGCAGCTTGAGGCTGTTTCCTCTCATCCTGTCACTTATTCCCTGGGAGAAGAGGCGGATCCCACCTGGCTCCAACCTCCTGTCAGGGATCTGTGGAAAGCCAGAAGGTCCTAACTTGATCCTCCTTTTCTCCCTGTTGGCACAAGGTCCACGTGCCTTGGAATATGCCTGGTGTTATCCCAGATTTCCATGCTGTTTGTGGCCAGAAGAGTTCCAGTGTCACCTTGTGTCCTGGTACAGCCAGTCTATGGGAAATAAATCCTAAAGCTGGTCTTAATCCCTTAGTCTTCCTTGCCATGGCATCCCCTCGCCCTTTTTTGGGAATGCTGTGCATTCTCTCATCCTGAACCAGGAGTTTCATGGCTCAGCAGTGAGAGCAAAGAGCTGGATGTGCCCTTTATTAATTCCTGAAATAACTGCCTGCTCTATAAACAGGGAGTTGATTTATGGATTTTTAATGGCAGATTGGAATTTTAGCCCAGCTTTCAAACAATTCCAGTTTCAAAACACAAATTCAAGCCCCAGTTTCCTATTTAGAAAGGAAGATTTCCTTCTGTGGACTCGTGGATCCTTCTGGATCCACCCTCCCCCCTTCCTTCCTTCCTCCCCCTTTCTTTCCTTTTTCTTCCTTTCTCCTTTTTTCCTTTTCTCTTTTTTCTTCAGTTTTTTTCCTCTTCCTTTCTCCTTTTTTTGTCCTTTTTCCTTCTTCCTTTTTCTCTTTCCCACCTGTCTTTTCCCCTTTCCCTTCTTTTCTTTAACCTTCCTTTTTCATTTTCTATTTTCCCTTCTCCATTTTTCTCCTTCTCCCTAATTTCTTTTCCCTTCCTAATTTCTCCTTTTTATCCCCAACAACCCTGACTGGACCCTGTTTGGGCACATCCAGAAACTTCCACTGATTCATCATCATCATGGCTAGGCTTCGCGAACGAAGATCCGAGAAGGGCTCTACCCACGCTTGCTACAAGCGCGCTGATGGCTAAAAAGGCCAATGCAAGATAGACAAGTCTGGTTGCAGAAGGCACAGCAGAAAGACTCCCCAGGTGATATTGATGAGATGCGATTCTTTCTGTGTTGTCTTTTCTCCTCGAGAGTGATCCTGCATGTGTTCTCAAAAGCAGCAGCAGCATTATAGATGGTGTGTCTCCAGGCCTTCCGATTGGAGGCCAGGGTAGACCAATGGTGGTGATCAATACGGCCAAGGCTGAGGGATTGTTTCAGGGAGTCCTTGTATCTCCTCTTCGGGGCTCCTCTCTTGCGGCAGCCAGTGGCACGTTCCCCATAGAGGACGATCTCCACTGATTAAAGGCAGAACATTTCCTCCGTCCTGCTATTATTCCCTGGGAAGGCAGGAAAGCACCAGGAGCCATTCTTGGATACAAAGCAGTATTTATATATTTTATTCATATGGGCACATTTACCTCCAGCATAAAACAAAGTCTAAATAAGCCAAACAAAACAAAACAAAACAAAAAATAAAAAAAAGGGGGGGAATCCAGAGACTCAACCCCTCAAAATTCAGCAAAATATAAATATAAATCAGGAAGAAAAGAAGGAAACCACGTTTGTTCCCCACAAATAAAAACCAGGAATCAAGAATAACCTGCTACAAATGTAACTCTACAAACTGGCTGGCAAAATACAGTGATTAAAGCTGTGGCAGCAACGTTTAAACCAACAAATTAGTGCTTTACTTGATGGTTTTTTTCCTTAAGTCTTCCAGTGGTGCCATAGTCTCTATTTACAGGCTTTAAGCTCCAATAGCAGGACAGAAGAGTTGGGAATTTGCTTTTGAAACAAATTCCCAAACAGCCCAAGTTTCCACCCTTTTGTCTTCCTTCCTGCCAGGAAAGTCTCTGGATAAAGAGACAGAAGCTCAGAGTTCCCTCTGTCCCACGCAGGGAAAAGCCTGATTGTGAACTCTCTTGGGACTGACTGGGGACAGGGAAGGAGCAGAGATTTGGTTTTGGGGAGAAATCCGTACAAACAGCTGTTTCCACGGGCCTACAAGCAATTCCATCACTCCTTGATTTTAATTTTATAATTATAAACCCCATTTCTGCCTCGGGGGGCAGCAGCTGATGATTTTTAACATGGAATCCTGGAATGGTTTGGGTGGAAAGGGACCTTAAAGCCCAGCCAGTTCCATGGGTAGGGACACCTTCCACTAGCCCAGGTTGCTCCAACCTGGATTTGAACGCTTCCAGGGATGGGGCATCCACAGCTCATCTGGGAAAGCCGTGTCACTTAAGACATAAGATCCTATTGACACTAAAAACTTCATCCTGAATCCCGGTCCTCTCTTGCTCCCAGGGATTGCTGCTGGCTCCGTGTGGCCAGGGCCAGCCTTGGCACTCCAGGAGTTGCCTCATCCCAGTTAAGCCCCAGTTTTTGACAAATACATGGGGAAACCCTGTTCCCTGGGGCTGTTTCAAAAGGAAAAAGGCCCCAGAGATGTTTCCAAGCCCCCAGGCACTTGGTTTGCTGGGAATCCCACTAAATCCCATGGATGAGCATCATGGGGACACCTAAGAGATTCCAACTCCTCCTGGGCCACCACTGATTGATTCCTTCCCTTAGGAGTGGGGTGGGATGTACTGGGAAGTCTTGGAGAGGGGATTTGAGGGGGTGATTGCAGGCTCTGGCCCTCCCAACATTCCCTGTTTCCTCTTCCAAGGGACATTTATCTCAGCTCAGCATCACTCACCTGAGGAAGGGCGTGCCAGCCTGGGCCATTGATTGCCAAGGGGACAAAAAACCTGCCAGGGAATTCACTTCCCAGCTTAAAGCCAGGACAAGTCCCTCAGGGAGGGTGGGGGGAAGAGCTCTAAGCTACATCCAGGTGTTTCCTTCAGGATTTGAGGGAGAAACAGAAAATCCTGCTGAGCACAGAGCTGACCTCCTTGTGCTCAGCTATTCCCAAGCCTTGGGGTGTCTTCTTATCCCACTGAGCTTCCCAAAATTGGGTTTTCTGATTGCTTGGCTGCTCAGAATTCCCTGCTCACCCACTATTTCCTGCTTCCCAGGATCCAGTGAATTTTAATAACTGTGTAATTCAGTGTTTGCTGCTTCCAGGCCTAAACCCCCGACTTGGAAATCACCAACTCCAACAAGGAATTTTAGGACTGCTTTGCTGGGATAAGCTCAGGAGGTGGATGACAAGAGACAAAAACAGACATCCACAGGAACCATCACTTTACCTACATAAAAACCATCCTGTTTTTCCGAAACAGCTCTCAAGTGTCCACAGGATCAGCATGTGGCATTTCCCCCTCACTGTTTTCCTTAGGGAAATCCATCTTGGAATAACCTGGAAGTGGCTGAGCCTCCAGGAAGGCAGATAACTCCTTTTTAGCATGAGGGGCTGCAGAGGGATGGGGAGGGGGATGCACACGGAGCCACTTGGCTTTCCCATGTGGCTCAATGGGGACTGGATGAAATTCCCATTTTTTTTTTTTTTTTTACAGCTTAAAACCCCAAAGAACTCAGTAGTTTAGCAAGTTAAGGACTTGTAACAGTAACATATTCCAAAATACCCCCAACACAAGTGCTCTGGGAGGGCAGGGACAGCTTGGAGCCCCTGCCATTCCCACTTTTTGGGAGACCACCACCCTCTCCCGAGGCAGAGATCCTGCCCTGGCACAGATCCTCATGTTCCCAGGGACTCAGCCTTGCTATGCAGGGCACTCCAGGATTTTCCAGCAGTCTCTGTCCTGCACATCTGGGCAGGGGTTGGTGTTGGCTTGAGAGCCGACCAGGCAGCTCCACACGCTGCTTTCAAATGGATAAAAACAGATCCCACAACACTCAGTATGGGAGAATCCCAGTTATTTGTCACCCCTGGGTTGATGCCAAGTGTCCCCACGTGTGGTGTGGCCTCAGCAGTGGCTTTAGTGGGAGTTTTATCCATCCAGACCTGGATCTGGTGGGATTTAAAAGCACAAGGGAAGGGGGGAAATGATGCGGAAGCTGCTCTTTCTTGGGTTGTTCCAAGGGGAACGTGTCCATTGGCAAGTCCGGGGGCCTCCAGGGGGTCTGTGGGAAGTGGCCCTGGGCCAACTAAAAGGAACAGCAACTCCAGTGTACGACTTCCAGTATGTCCAGGCACAGCCCTCTCTTCCAAAGGCCAAACCCCTTGGAAAAGGCTCCAGTGTTGAAGCAATTCCAGCGTTGTGAAGAACTGACGTGGGACATCTGGGAGCACCAGGAGATCCATGGAAGGAGCATCCCTTTGGGATGTGGCCAGTGTGATGCTTCCAAATCCAGTGTTGGAAGGGGAGGGAGAAGCGATGGAGGACACACAGGTCTCCGTGAGGGAAAGGAGAGCGACATGGGATAGTGGGAATGGGCGCAAGGTCACCCCTGAAGCCACCACGGGGCAGGTGATGGGTTTTAGGTCCTGTGTGTGCTCTGGGTCACCAGCCACCAGCATTCCAGCTCCGGAGCTGCCACAGGACACGGGGATGAGGCGGGGCTGGGGAATGCAGGAGGCTCCCCAGTGGCACCAGTCCCCCTCCTGTCTCCAAGCAGAGGGCACTGGTG